AGGCTTCTCCTTTCCAGACGCGTTCGACGCCGTCGCAAAAGACACAGTACAAGCAAATAGGAATGTTGATATTCTCTGTATTTTTATATTTGGTACCTTGGCATTAATAAAAAATTAAAATAAAAAAAAAGCACATCAGAATCCATGTTGTGATAACTGGGGGGAAACCTTGGCGCGTGATGTCATATCCTGCTCCCGCCCATATTCGCAGCGGAGTCCGAAAAATTTTTGCACGTTCAAAGTCTAGTGTGACCGCCCCTTAAGTCTTAATTATCAAAGTGTTACGTAAACTATGTCTGCCTTTATATTACATAGGCATTTCTAATGTGACTTTTCAAGACAACACCACTCTTGTATACCATGGGAATGGGCTGATTTCCCGCCACCTGACCAGCATCGTTTTCAGTATCCGAACACGTAAACACAATGCGGCAGTGTTACATGCAGAGAGTGAGTCCGACTTTGTTACGGTATCCATTCAAGATGGCTTTCTGGTGCTAGAACTTCTAAGTGGACCTTCTTCCTCATCATCTTTGTCACCCGTAACCCTGCGCAGCCCAAGATCAGTGGCCGATGGAGAGTGGCATGCAGTAGAGCTGTTAATGGCCAGTCCCTGGGCTAACAGCTCCCAGTGGATCATGGTCCCTCTTGATGAAAAGGACGAGCCTACTATATCTGACTCCATGACCGGAAATCTAGACTTCCTCCGAGAAGGTGTCGATATCCTTCTAGGAGGACTTGGCCCAGAGTCTGGATGGAATCTGATTGGCTGTCTGAGTAATATTGAAATTGGTGGCATTGTGCTTCCATATTATGGTCCTGCCGAGGTGAGATTCCCACGTACACAGAAAGAGAAGTTCAATAAGTTATCGGAGGAACCGGTCCAAACTGGCTGTGCTGGTGATGTGGTGTGTGAACCCAACCCCTGCTTGCATGGGGGAATCTGTGACGATCACTTCAACCTTTTCCAGTGCTTCTGTCTACCTGGCTGGGGCGGTGATCGCTGCAAGCTGAATACAAACACCTGCGCCTCCAACCCCTGTCAACACGGATACTGCATTGTGCAGGACCTTTCATACAGCTGCGCATGTGAGAGTGGCTACACCGGCACCAACTGTGAGGTTAAAGTGGACATATGTGCCGGTCACAAGTGTGCTAATGGTGGGACCTGCTTGCATGGCTTCAACAGCTATTCCTGCCTCTGCCCCGACAGGTTTACTGGGCCATATTGCAAGTGAGTCTGTTCTCATTTTTGACATGCAGTTGACTAGTTGACTTGTTCATTACTACTACTGGTGATACTTGGGTTTTTGAGCAAACCCCTAACTCAGGGTTCCTCAAATCTGGCCTGGAAGGCCAGTGGCCTGCAGTTTTGCTCAAACCCTAATCAAACTACCTGTAATTTGGAAGGCATTCATTAGGTTGCTCAGATGTCTTTAATTAAACTTGGAGCTAAACTCAGGGTAGTGGCCCTCCAGTGCCAGATTTATGGAATCCTGTCCTATCCCTAAGTATTAAACATTGGCTTGTAACTGGTTCCATCGTTCACCTGTTGTGATACAAACATGAGTGATCCCCAGGGCCGTCCTTAGGGGGGGTGAAACTGGTGCGGTCGCACCGTGCCCCGCGTTTGAGGGGGCCCCGCGGCGAACGGACGAACGCGATCGCGAATGGACCGAGGGGGACCCCGCTCCCTACCTCTCACCGGGCCCCGCGTCAGCTAAGGATGGCCCTGGTGATCCCTTAAATCATGTGGTTGAAAAGAAGTGTGCAGTTGCTTGTCAAAGCACCTGGACTTGGTGGGTGGGCAATTAAACAGGTGAAAAAATTTCATAGGCTTACACTAAAAGAGGAACCCGAGGCATCTAGGGACCAAAAATGAGGGTGAGCTCTTCTGACTAGTAAGATACCACTGAAACCACCCTAGAATTGTGGAGGTGAATTTTGTGAGGAAAGCACTACTTCCTTCAATGTAAGAGTTTATTCTAACTTTAGCAGATTTTGTGGAGGCTATGTGCATACAAAGACTTGATTTAAGGCTTCTACACCAAGGCAATTCACAGATACGTCTGTAAGGAATGGTGTTTGTCCCTTCTGCAAAACATTGAACCAAGTCAAGAAGAGACTTGCCTTAGATATGAAATCAACCTGGTGTTAAAAAGCCATAGCTCAAGAAGCTACTCCACTTTTCAAAGGAAAGAGAATGCAAAACAGAAATTCAGACTTTGTACATGGAAACAGGCCACAAACCTCACACAATGATTCCCATCAAAGAAAGAAAGCAACCTGAATGAATCAAGACCCCTAAGAGACTGATTTGTTATGAAGGTAATGCAAATCATATAATTGCTTTTATGGTGTTGTTTATGCTAGCTTGACTGCAGAGACGTGTCTGCTGCCATACGCGTCATTTGAAAGCAGTAATGGTAATAATAGTCTCTGTCGAGAGTGCCCATCCTCCAGTGGTTGCGTTAGGCCTTCAGGGTGGCATCTAAGGCAAGTCTGCAGCCATTTATCTCATAAACATGTTTTGTTGCCAGACTGCTTCATAGCACTCCTTTGAAACTGCCTTGCAGGCAGCCGGAAGACATAATAGATCTATCTTTTCCCCACTGCAGAGTTAGAGAGATCTTTGGTGTAAAGTTTTGCCGTTTAAAAAAAATAATGACGCTTGCTGTTTGTTTGTCTCTTTCCTGTTTCCTTTGTCTCACAACAGCACTCGGATTGAAGAGGCTCTGTGGTACGTAGTTGTCAGGAGCGTGTAAGTGCTGTTTACTATTGACTTGTTTTTAGATTTATCCTCTTTTTTATATTTCCTCCTTATTTCTTCCTTCATTTTTTCTTCCTCTTCTTCCTTGTACTTCCTTTTTTACTACCGATCCCCATTTTCTTGCCATCCTTGCTTTCCTCACTTCCTTCCTTTCTTCCTTCAAATTTCTTTCCTCCTTTTCCTTCCTACTGTCATTTCCTTTTAGTCTCTCTACCTCTTCTTTCTTGCCTTCTTTCTTCCTTCCCTTCTTACTACTTTCCTTCTCGCTATCCCTTGTTTTTGTCTCTCCATCTTTTCTTTCTTCCTGCTTTCCTTTCCCTCTATCCTTTCTTCCCTGCCATACCTCCTCATTTCTTTTCTGTCTGTATACCTTTATTCTTGCCTTCCTTTGTCCTTCTCTCTCTTCCTTCTTGACTTTGCCCTTCCTTCCTTCCTTCCTTCCTATTCTTTTCTCTTTCTCTCAATTCTTCTTTTTTCTTTCTTTCTTTCCATATTTTTATTTCAATTTCTTTCCTTTTTATTCCTTCCTATCTTTTCCTTTCTCTCAATTTTTTTCTTTCTTTCTGGCTGTCCTTTACTTTCTCTCCATATCTTTCTTTCCTTTTTCCTCCTTCCTTCTCTTTCTTTCTCCCTTGCTATACTTTACTTTCTCTCCATATGTTTCTTTCTTTCCTTTTTCTTCCTGCTTGCTTTCTTCCTTCCTTGTTATCCTTTACTTTCTCTTCATATCTTTTTCCTTTTTCTTACTTCCTACTTTCTTTCTTCCTTCCTTCTTCCCTTGCTATTCTTTATTTTCTCTTCATATCTTTCTTTCCTTTTTCTTACTTCCTACTTCCTTCATTGCTTTCTCTTTCTTTCTTTTTCTTTCCATATTTTTATTTCAATTCTTTCCTTTTTATTCCTCCCTATCTTTTCCTCTCTCAATTTTTCTTTCTTTCTTTCTTTCTTTCTTTCCTTCTTCCATTTGCTATCCTTTATTTTCTCTCCATAGCTTTCTTTCCTTTTTCTTACTTCCTACTTTCTTTCTTTCTTTCTTTCTTCTCCTATAATCCTTTATTTCACATGTCTCTGTAAAGTAAAAGAAAATCACAATAAGTAATAGTTCCTTTCTTAAAACTCTGTATTTGTCATATCATATACAGTATTTGTCCACACAGAATAACAATAGGGGAGTCTTTATATTAGCTGTATGTTAATCCCGATATAATGCGATGGTTTATTGTTTTCTTTTTGTCTTGTGGTCAGTGGTTCATTCACATGCTAATGTCATTATTCTAATAGTGGGCTAATCGTCTTTTGTGCGGGACAAAGCAGTGGGGGGGTGTGTAGTATGTAGAGCCCCTTACATGGCTCTCAAGAGGAGAGGATGGATTCTTCATCATTTGTTATGTTTCTTTCTTTTCCCTCATTCTCCCCATCCCCAGACCGCCCAATCTCCCGGTGTCCATCTGTGGTGATGAACAGCAGAACTACACTTGTTTCAATGGGGGGAACTGTTCTGACTCCAACATGATGTGTGACTGCCTCCCTGGGTTTTCGGGTCACTGGTGATTATTCCTCGCCTTTCTTTGTTCACATCATCTCATATGTACATGTTAATGAATTTCAGGGTAGTAATAATGCCAGTAATAGTTAACCAGTTTTAGAATGCATGTAATATTCGTATTCAGAACCAAATATCAATAACACTAATAACCGTAATATTTAAGTTAGTAATAATAAGGTTTGTTTTCGCTATACATTTGTCACTTAGGTGCGAACTAGATCTTGATGAATGTAGATCCAACCCTTGCTTGAATGGCGGCTACTGCCAGAACATGGTCAACAAGTTCCAGTGTGTCTGTGAAATGACCTTCGCCGGCGAGACCTGCGAAGTCGACGTAAGCGACATTTACTTTTACATGGCCGCTTTGTTTTGGCAAAACCTCTTCCAGTTTCTCTCCTACCTCATTCTTCGCTTAGACGATGAACCAGAGGTAGACTGGGGTGACAATGAGTAAACAGGTCTTTGGTGGAGGCTAGGAAAATGGCTAGTGTAATTGTTTTCTACACAGGTTTAATAAGCTGGAATGGTATACAGACTCAAAATGTTGCTTCACAACTGGTATATAAGGTCTGTAGATAATTGAAATGAATATATATTTAAATTAAATTCAAGTATTTATCAAGTAAATGTATTTGTAAACATGAATTTGTTAACCACAGTAGTATTTGTTAGTTTAGGAAAAACTACATGTGCAAGGGCTCCATTATTTTCTGGATCAGGCCAGACGACATATCAGTGAAACCGCTTAGTGCCTTAAGATGACACGGTTTCATAAACAAGACTGTGTCTAATACAAAGGATCTTTTTTTTACTGTACTTTATGCAGTCCAAGTGAGAATCGTAGACTGATTTCAGGGGAAATAATTTTGAGAATACTTTGAGAATTATCATGCATTTAAAGGAATACAACCTAAAAATGGCTTATGAGCATAGAATACACTTAGTTTATTTCTGTTTAGGGAAGAATAACATTTAAGGTTTCATTTCATCTGTCAGTTCTATGGTATTTAAATTCATAATTTTCCTTTCCATTTTCAGAACTGATTTATACTCAGCAATATCCCACTATTGAACTCATCACTCTTTTGTATCTTAAAATCATTTTTAATTACTCTTCTGTAATTCTTTCGATATATTTTAAACCATCAATATGTCACACTCAACATTTCAGTAGTTTATAGTGTTATGTGTTCATCTGTCTGTTGATCTCTGTTAGCGTTCATGACCAGATTGTGTACATTGTCTCTCACATTCTATCTTTAGATGACTGTCTTCAAATAAAGCATTTCTCTCCATCACATCCATCATCATTCTGTTGTTTGTTCTTTGTCGGTTTTGTTTAGCTGTCTCTCTACTGTCATTACACATCCAGAGACTGTGCCAGTGGCACATCATGCAGGTTTTGAAGAATGTTGCCACAGATTTTGATAGACAGAGCCACTGAACTAGGGGCAGCAGACACATCAAAGATACAGCGGCACTGTAAAACCTATGGCAGGTGTGTTGACTCAGCACGCAAAAGTGTGTACTGTGCAAGTTTGAAACAAGTTGGAGATTTTTTCCAGATGCAACTTACAGTATATCAGTTGCTTTGACAGCTTTACTCAGAGTTAAGGGTACATTGGATACACTGGTGATTGCAGGGGAATCACATCGATTTGGTTTACAGTTCACACCTGATGGAATTAGATACTATTATTACTAGTGGAGTTCATTAACCACATATTTTGGCTACATCCACCATCCTAGTTTTACGAAATTATCTTTTTATTCAGTAATTAAAATGCAATTTATATAGTCTCTCTTCTATTAATGTAATGGTGGTCTTGAGATGTAAAACAGCTCATAAGAAGTTGAAATGTCAGTTAATTAAAGTTTAACTTTTTATCTTGTTATATAAACTGTACAAACCTAAGAAGGTTGTATGATTATCATGATTTAAAAAAATAATGATATTTAAAATATAAAGTATATGTTTGAAAACTTATTGGGAAATGATTAAAGGGATAGTCCATCCAAAAATGAAAATTTGATGTTTATCTGCTTACCCCCAGGGCATATTTTGATTAGCCGTCGTATCTACAATGACTGTGCACTGTGTAAACAATGAGTGACGTATATGCGCGAGAGATCACTTCCGGCGCTTGCGTAAACTACGCCAGAGTGCGTACACACCTCACGCACCGGATGCCGTGTGGGCGCTCAAGGAAGTTGGACATAGTGTTGTATTATAGGTAAAAAATGATAGAAATTCTGTTCGGTTTCTGGCACAAACCGATCGTTTCGTGTCTTAGGACATCAGTGTGTAGTCACGAGCCGCAGGGTTTAATTTGGATTTGTCGGTGCATGTTTTTTTTACTCTCATAGATTTTGTTACCATTGACATGTATTATACGACTGATAGACTGCAACGGTTATAGTTAAAAATCATCATATGTGTTCTACTGAAGAAACAAAGTCACCTACATCTTGGATGCCCTGGGGGTAAGCAGATAAACATCAAATTTTCATTTTTGGGTGAACTATCCCTTTAAGATGTCTACATTCATGTGTGTAAAAATATAAATATGAAATGCACTTTGTTTGGCTTAAATCAGGCCCTAAAAACAGGCATGCATTTCAAGACAGATTTTTCTTGGCAGATACTTAAATTAACCAAATTACATTTATGTGATTGAGTTAAATATATGATTTCACAAAGTTTAAGGTTACTGTGACTGAAGATGTTCCACTGTCTCCTCAAGATGTCCTTATATTCATCTTGAGAGCAGTGTGCAGGTTAAAGATAGCCACGTTCCACTCTTTAAATCCTATCTAACAGGATAAATGCTGGTGAGAGGATCTTATCTCATGCTAAGACACGTTACAGTGTCGCTCTCTGAGCTTTGCTGTTTTCTTAAGGACTCATTAAATCAAAATAAGACTTTTGTGGCTTTTCGTTCACCTCTGTTAGTTTTGAAGATATCTATTTGCTAGTGTAAAAGTACTTTTAACAGACAAACACATTTAAAATTTAGTCCCTCTCTTTCAGGAAAAAGGACTAATAATATTATTGACTCATCCTGTACTACAAATTTTTTTGTCTAGTCACATGCTCTCTGACTTGGTTATGTCCTTCCCAAACTTTTCATAATAAAACAAAGTAAGCATATTGCTGCAAAATAAACTGGCGCACACACCTGCGCAGGTAGCCTTCTTACATACATAAATTAGTGAATCGTTTTATTGAACCGGTTAAACAATTCAAAGAAACCGATTCACTAAAATGTATCAGACTTAGCGATTCTTATTCTCGATATGAAAAGGTCGGTTCGCTTGGCTGTAAACCTGTGTGCGCAATATTACGAAAATAGCGGAAAATAACACCAATGTTTCTTAAAAAAAAACATTTCAGTCTTTCTACTTAAAGTTTCACGTTTATTTCACGTCCAATTCACATTTAATTAATTGTCCCTGTAGTGTTGTCAGGTATTAGCCACAAACTGGTTCGCAAGATAACTTTATCTAGGTTAACTATCCTGTGATTATAAATAATTTAAAATATTTCAGTTCTATTACTAATGTAATACATTTAAAAAACTTAAAAATAGATCATATATGCAGAGTCAAGGCAACGGGGAAGCAATCGCAGCTCTTGAGGGCTAGTGTTTTTTGACTGCTGAAGCATAAATGTGTCTCAGTGTGAGGAATCTGGGGGTCTGTGTTTCTACTCCACGTCTGCAGAGAAAGTTTGTGTCTTCAGAGTGACAGAATAGTGCTTGGCCAGCAGAAAGGCGCAGCGGTGTTCTGTGTGAAATGCAACTCAGCAGTGCATCGCTGCAGGTCTGAGAAACGAGGGGGAAATATAGCGGGAGAAGCTTATCGCAGTGACAGGGTCGTTTGTCTGCTGGAAAGTCTGGCTGTCTCTTTCTTTCCCTCACACACATAAAACATCGCCTTCAGAGCAGGTGATGAGCTCAGCTCAGAGTTTCTGTGGCCATGAGCTTCTTGCCTGTCGCTGCTGCTTCAACAGATGGAGCCGAGTGTTGGGAAGGGCTGGGTTGGATGATCTAATTTTGGTCCTGAAGATCAGTCCATCTACTCTACAGTATAAAGTGTGTGAGAAGCAGCATTTGATGGCGTGTACTGATTCTTGAATCTTGGCACTATATACAATAATTTTTATAGCATAAGTATGATATACTAAAATATAATAACTTATATATTTATAAAAAATATATCACTATTATTGATATAATTTATTTGATTCTTTCCGAAGGTTACATTTTTAAGCCAGTAGGTAGCGACAAGTGACTATATATTTGTTTGAATTATGAATTGTTTGGTCAAACAATTTGTTCAAAAACACTGATTCGTTCAGAAACAAAACAACTTAGGCCTACTCATTGAATAAGTTAGTCAACAGGTTTGTTCAAAAATGCTGATTGATTCAGAAACAAAACAATACGAGTGAGTCATTAAGTCCCACATTTAAATGAATTCCAAATTCTGATGCATTCAAAAACTTGTGACAGGGTTCCTACACATTTTCTCTTTCAAAATTCCATACTTTTCCAGACTCACGCAAACCTCTCAGTAGATTTTCAGACCATATTTAACATAAATGGGTCATACAGCATTATTTTTTAGCTTTATATTTAGTATATAGTACAGTCATCTGTAAATATTTTTATTTTCTCAGGTTTTTTTTTTCATTGATTTTCTCAAAGTGACAACATACAGAGCCCCTAAAATAAATAATAATAATAAAAAATACAGACTCTTGCATGCACACAAGAAACTTTTTTTGTGCCCTCGGGAAACTATTCATATGCACATAGGATTTTTTTTTTGCATGCTTACACATTACAATTTCTAGTGTTATATAACCTATTTCCTTTGCGTATCACTGCAATCTTACTATGAATAAAATGAGAGCATGGATGCACATGAATTAATAGAGATCTATTTGCTCAAAATTTGGCATTCCTTATGGTAGTACCTCTTATATTAAGGCATAATGTCCAATTTAACACATCCTCTGTGGCAGCAGAGAAACCATGACACGAAATGGTCTGACGGCATAATATGGCTGTGTGGATTGTCCTATTTGCCAAGTTCAAGGGTCTATAAAAAAAAAAGACTGGTACTGTAAAAAAGAATTTGGCTTTTGTTAGGGCAATATGTCATAGGCCTTAGGTCTATTTAATGCAAAGTCTGTGGCAGCCAAGAAACCACATAGCAAAATGGGCTGATGGCGCAATAGATGAATCAGTGTGCATTGTCCTATATGCCAAGTAATGGTTTCTTGTGCGCACATAAACATCTGATTCTGTATATTTTTTTTATTTTTGGGAACAAAACAATATGAGTGATTCATTAAATCATTCATTCAGTCGATCTGTTCAAAAACACTGACTGATTTAGGAACAAAACAAAAAGTGAGTCACTGAATCATTCATTCAACCGATTGGTTTAAAACACTGTTTTCAGGAACAAAACAAGTTGCTCTAAATTGAGTCACTGAATCATTGGTCAGCTGATTTATTTAAAACCACTGATTCATTCATGAACAGAGCATGACTATCTAAATAACTAGTAATGTTGTGTTCCAAATGTACTCAATACTCTCATTGAACTCTTGTATAAGATAAAAGGTGGAACGCTTTTGTTAGTAAAAACTTAATCTAAGCGTCAAGTTTGACTGTCGTGAAAATGTCGAGAGGTGGCAGATGGAGGGGGCAGAAAGGGACGCTGGGAGCAGATGACTGTGCCAATAAATCTATAGAGAGTAGCTCACCTTATGAATATTTTCCAGCATGCAAGCGTACATAGACTGAGCCAAGAGAATCTCAATATGCATATGTGAAGCGTATTAGTGTTGACTAACATCTAGATTATACAGCTTTATTATGCTGTCAAGCATCAAATTAAATCTACTCTTTATTATATTTAAAATATTACTTTACTGACTTCTCATCGCCGACTCCGCCCCGTCTTCCTTTCCTCCAGCTGAATGCAGGGAATGTGTCATCTGACCTGTTGCTGTCCATCAGCCTGGTGTCCGTGGTTCTGTTGTTGGTTCTTTTCGGCGTGGCCACAGCTTTGGTCATCACGCTGAACCGACGGGCCACACGAGGCACTTACAGCCCCAGTCGACAGGAGAAGGAAGGTTCAAGAGTGGAGATGTGGAACATCGTGCAGCCTCCACCAATGGAGAGACTCATCTGAGCCAATCAACCAATGCTCAGTCAGTCATGTTGTTTGTGGCTTGTTGGTTTTACAAGGAAAAATACCTTTTTATTGACTGATCATGTGGCAGCTATCATCCGCTAGATCAGGGCTGATCAACTTCGTTCCTGGAGGGCCACTGTCCTGCAGAGTTTAGCTCCAACCCTAATCAAGGTCTTCAAGAACACTAGAAAGCTACAGGCAGGTGTGTTTGATTAGGATTGGAGCTAAACTCTGCAGGACAGTGGCCCTCCAAGAACAAAGCTGCCCAGCCCTGAGCTAGATAATAGTCTTATAAATTATCATTTTGATTGGACAATCTTCCTCATAATGGATGTGTAATTTAAATAATACAATGTGATGAACACCTCCGAAAAGCTTTAGGATTCATTGATTGGTGAATTGTGAAGCGTTTTTAATCAAGACAATGCTGCTCAACAATCACGGCTAATTAGAACATATTTAATAGAGGTCGGGCCAATGTGATTTCAGTGGTTCAGGACATGGAAGAAACGGATTAGTTTTTGCATCACGCCTAGTCAGGACCAGTGGCGGCTCATGGGTTTTAAAATAGAGGAGGCACACTAATTGTATTGGTCTGGGATCCCTGCCGATTATTATTATTATTATTTGCTTAACCACTTTAAAATGGCTTTTTGGTTGCTTTTAGTCAGAAAACGTAAAGAAAACGACATACA